ATCATTACTGATTTAACAAAAATATAGTATAATCTTCAATGTTATTCTGTTACTATAGAAAATATATGAGCTATAAGAAAAGTCTTTCATACGTCTCTAATCAGTACTGCCCTCTATCAAAATATATGTATTCATGACAACTAAATACTCATATTCTCAGTTATGGTGGTAAATTGTCATATCACTTCTTCTAATGCCTGAAAAGTAAGTGAATATTAAAATTGAACATTTATAAATTTTTATATTTAATAGAATAAGATCACGTCCATCAAGTGCGAATCGTGAACAACGACAAATTCAACGTCGTTCTAGTTTAAATACTGATCCAATAATATTTACTTCTAATTCGGTAACATCTACAAATGGTAAAATTTATTCTGGTATTGATTTACGTACACCAAAAGAAAAACTTGAAGATTTAGAAAAAGAAATACTTGAATCAACCGATAAATCTACTGTATAATCTGAAAATTTTTTATCTTTAATTTTTTTTGTCTTTCTTTAGCCTGAACAGTATCTTAATCAAGTTGTTCTTGCACAAATCTATACAAATCTTGAATATGGCGATATATCAATTGAAAATGCTCGAGCATATTTAAATCTAAGTGAATTTTATTTTAATCGAAATAAAATTTTTTTACCACAAGCAAAATTTCATGCACTTAATGCTCGACAAATTCTTGAACAATTAAAAATTAAACCTAGTAATGATAATTTAATAGAAAATCTTCTTGCTTATGATATTTATTTAATGTTAATTAAATGTTCATTAAATGCTAAACGAGAAATGAAAACAACTAAAAATAAACATATTTTATCAATTGATAAAACACATATTAATCATGATATAAAATTACTTGAATTATATTTAGAAAAATTAAAAGAATTAACTAATAAAAATGATTATGATCAAATGAATATGAAATATTTATTTCTTAAATATGATACAATTGTTAACAATACGAAAGAATTTGTTAAATCAATAGATATAATAATTGAACAAATAATAGATTATATTGAAAAATATTTTACACATGATCAAATTAAAAGAAAAATTGATTTATATTTACGTTGTGGATTATATTTTATTAATTATGAAGATAAAATTCAAGATGGATTAAGATATTATAAAAAAGCAATTGAATTAGCAGAACAAGAAGAAAAAACTCAACCATCAAATGCACATAAATATCAACTTGCTAAAACAATTTTAGAGAGAAATATTGCAAAACTAAGAGTAGATCATTTAACAGGTATTAAATTATAGATCTTATCTTTTTCTTAATTAATATTTTATTGTATTGTAGATGATATGGAAAAAGAATTTCAACGTGCAATTCAATTATATACACAACCCACTAATGAAATAACTAAGAATGTATTGAAAGTTATTGATGAATTAGCAATTTTTTATACTAAAATGGGAAAATATCAGGTTTGCTTATTCTTCCGAAGGGCTTAAATCGAAGCGATCTATCAAAGTCACATGAGAATATCTAGTCTAAAATATTAATCAGACATCTTAACAAATAGTTAAATCTTTTTTATATTTAATTTGTTTGTAGGATGCATTGAATATACTTTGTGAAAGTTTACCAGATAAAATTCGATTGTTTGGTGAGTTTTCTGAAGAAGCCATACAAACTGAATCACATATTGGTGCAATTTATTTACGAGAAGGTGAATGTCTCAATGCTGCTGAACATTTACAAGCTGTATGAAAAGATTTTCTTTTTTTTTGCTCGTTAATAAAACGAACTTGTCTATTATAGTGTCTTGATTTACAAGAATTTGTTTATGGTACAAATGATTCACGAACATCTCAAACACGAAATTCAGTTGAATTATTAAAAAAGTCATTTTTTTATGATTAGTTTTTTATAATAAAATTTAACTCTTTTTATTATTATTTTATAGAGATCCTATGGTTTCTCGAACATTCTTTGCTCGAACACATGATGGTAAACGTCAAGATCGTCCAGCATTTCGAACTACAAATAAAGTTTCTCATGACAAACAAGATCTTCAATTATTTCAAACAGTTACTAAAAAACCACCAACTAGTTCAAAAATTTAACTTATCTGTATTTTACAATATTGTATAAAAAAAACAAGGACGACTACTTTTATCATAGTTCTTATTGAATATCAATAAACTATTGAACAGAATACCTTGATCTGATTTATACAGTTGTCTTCTTCTTAAAAACAGATAGAAATATTAAGAAAAAAAACATGAACTCAATTCTATTTTCAATCGAATATTACTTTTAATGCTTGCTATGAATTTTAGTTGAATAAGACATAGTTGAGGATCATAATGTTCGTTACTTCTTGTTACATCAATTCCATATGTATTTAACTTTTTTTTCCCACCAGTGATATTAGAATATGCTAACGGAAATACATTTTATTTTTTAAGCAACACACAAGTAATAGTTAATTGAGTACACTCTACATATATAAAGTATCTAATAATTTTCAAGAAACAAAATATCTTAACTTTGAATTAAATAAAAAAACTGAGTGAATCATAAGCTAGAAAAAGAAGAACAAATAATGAAAATAACAATAAACATTAGGTAAACTTGTTCAACCATGATATAAAATAAGATATATATTTCATAAGATATATGCACTAAGAACTAATGTATATATTTGATATATACGAGAAAATTTAACACAACCAAAGTATATTATTTATAAAACGTTTCATTTGATCAATGTTGATGACCAAGTTCATTGTAATGGTCTATATCCAATAAATTTCTTGTTGCACGTTCATAAGTCTAAATGTCAGTTAGATTACAAATATCAATATCATTTCAGATGTTTTCGAGACAGCAATACCGTTGACGTTGGCACAAGGTGCATGGACGATTGTGTATTTTTTTTCTTACGTTGTTGATCAGTACGATGTTCTATTATTTGTTTCTGAAAATTTTACAGAGATACATATGACATTTTAAAAACTAAATAATGGTTATTTACTTGTTGTTCATTTAGATGGTGTTGTCGAAATTCGTTCTGAATTAAATGTTCACAATAACAAGTTTTTATTAATTTTGATGATAAAGTTCTTTTCCTTGATTTACGCTCCTTATTTTCTAGCCATCGACGCTGGAATTTAGCCTTCTTCACCAAGTGTTTGGATGTTTGTGTTACCGAACTACTATCGGGTAAAGGGTCAGAAGGTTCGGATTGGTAGAAATATTCATCTGATTCTAAAAAATACAAGCACACATGAATGTAAAAGTAATTAAAATTTTTAGTAAATATAATTACTCATTGGATAAACGAAAGTCCGTTTGTCCCAGAATGCTTTGCTTTCTAGAGTTTTAGGCTTGATGAAATAGTTTGCTTTGCCGGGGTTTGATAGGACAATAGCAACCATCTTTGTGTTGATATCAAAGACATCCTCCTTTGTATTTTTAACCTGGACAGTATTATAAAACATAGAAAAAGAAATATATAAATATTTTATGATAAGAAATATACTAACGGTATATTCGGCCTGGCCTGTTAATAATTGTTCCGACGGAGGGTAGCCTAGTTTAATGTGGTTCTTCCAATCAATATCATCTAAAATCATGTAGTGGACCTCATTATTCCAACGGTCTACGTCAAAGTATCCAGAACAGTAGTTATAGATACCATATAGAGATTTGGCGAATGTGGTTTTTCCTGAGTTTTCGTAATAGAAAAGAAAATAAGTAAATCATATAGTTGAAGAATAATTTATATCATCTTTGTTTTTACATACCAACGTCTATTGGACCCTCTAATATGAAGACACGTGGCCGTCCTTCTTTCCTAAAGTCTTCATGTACCCATCTTTGTACAACAATTCCTATTATGTATTATAAAAACAAATATATTCATAATGGAAACTCAGAAGTAATAAAGATACATACGAAGGAGAAGGGTGCATTGTACGAATGAGTGACCCCAACAAAAAGGTTTATCGTATTGGTTTGATTTTAGTTTTTTATGGGTTGCTTGCTTGTTCGCGAAGACCAGAGCAGGTTTATATCTGTTCATTATAAGAAGAAAAATAAATAAATATATAGAATATTTTCTTATTTCGTTAAATGAACAACAAAATTATATTAAAATTGAAACAAACATATTTACCCCATTAAATGTTTTATGGAATGGCCAGGTTCCTTGTTCATTATATGTGTGAGGCCGTCATTGACACTGGTTCGACCTCGTTGAAAAGCTGCATTTGCTAGCTCGTCGGTCATAACATTGGCAGTGTTTTCTACGATAAAATAGAAATAAAGACAAGTTTTAGACTTTAATTGTTCTTACGTGTTTTCGTTCTACTTTCTCGCCAATGTAGATCCTTAGGAGCCTTATCGGTGCTTTTGAATTTTTTATATTCGATGAAATCGAGCCCTAAATTCATTAACAATAATTACTTTGATTTCACATAAACATGTTTTTCTTTTAGCTTAAGATATTCTCAAAGTTCGCTTTCCTCTAACCTTTTTTCATGTATTCATTCCACGGTCGATCCGATCTTGTCACTTGGTATTTGCAACCACAAGCTATTTTTTTTGAAAAATAAACAAAAAGTAGTATAATGCTATGAAGTTGATTTAAAAAAAATAGTAGAAATGATACATACTTAGGATGTCCTTCAAGCAGGCATAGCTGGTATTGATGGCCTTGCTCAAGAATAATTGAATGTGAAGTCGTGGTATTACTTGTGCGACCTCATATTCATTAGCTATCAAAGCATAGGTTACTTGACGTTCTGTGGTGTTGAATTTTTCCTTTAAGCCAGTCAATACTACCTCCTCTACAAAAACATATATATATATAGTACGTATTCAATAAATATCAATCGAGAAAATAGATAATACTTGTATTCTTTAAATATTAACTTACTTGAAATGTTTGACCAACATGAGACAGCAAATTTTGCCGTGTTGAGTCTCTTTGAACAGTTTTTGTCGTTATACAACGTTTCTTCGTCGTTGAAACTGGGCAATTCAAATTTTTTTTTGAGTTGCTAAAGCCTTACGGTCTAATTTCAAAAGAAAAATAAAATTATAAAGAGAAATCGATAAGTATTAATAAATAACTCGTATATCGTACAACTGACCTAAGTTACCATATTCAAAAAAAGGTAGATCGTGAGATTCCACCGGACCTGATCCAATAATAGGTGGATATGACGTTTTCCATGAAGCACCATTAAATTGAGTTGTGCCATTAAATCCGGCAATGAATGAGTCGATAGCTGTTGTATTGTTGAGATTTATTGCCATTTTTTATTGAATATAATTATAGTAAATATGTGTGTGCTTGTGTATCCAGGTCGAAGAGTACGGCCAGGAACTAACAAGATCCGGAGTCCAGAACCGTCGATCTGGGTAAGCCAATTCCAAAATCTAAAATGTATACCTTTAGATAGATAATTTCATTCAAACTATTACAGCCAAAAGATTTTTTCATTTGTTTAAAAAGGATAAAAACTTGCACAAATACTGAAAAAATACAATAAATTTCAGATTCAGATTCTTTGAGCTCGAAAAAAGTTACATTATTTCTTTATTTCTTTAAGAGTCCCCCTCCCCCCAGATCAAAAATCTAGTTTTTTCCCAGAGCACTCAATCTTAGTGAAATTTTTACCGAATATGTATCTGACCTCTAATAGTCTTCAGTAAAAAGTTGAGCTCAAAATATTGAGTTTTCCAGGAGTTATCCTACCATTAGGGGTCAAAAAGTAAGTACTCGTAATTCAAAAATCTTTTTCCGCAATTTTAATGATCTCGATCTCGGGATAGCGTCAAAATGTACAGAAACTTGAGGTTAACTTTTTAGAAAACTTGATTTTTTTTATATAGAACTAAGTTGAAAACAAAAATTTTGGCTTTGCTACGCTGTTACACTGAGCTCTAGCTTCATTTTAAAACCTTCTCAAGCTTTCTAGCATTCAAAATGGTGGGGAAAATTTTGAAGTACTAACAGTTAAAACATAAAAAACATTTTCAAAAAAAATTTTCGAGCAGGTTTTTTAGAAAACCCACTGAAAAACCCTAAAAAACCATCGTAAAACCGATAAATGATAGTCTATTCGAAAGTGTGGATGATGGGCTACCTAAATATGAATGAATCCTAAAATCGGTATTTTTGAAGAAAAATTTTTTTCTGACCGGGGCGAGGTTCTTAATAAGAAAATAACAGCATCTAAAGAAACTATTGTGACCAATTGATTGCTTGAATTGTATCAATAATTGCTTTGATTATAGCAACTCACACCATGATCATATTTATTCTTATGATAATCTATCGTGGGAGCACTTTATCTATTTTTTTTCTAGTAAGTATGTAACTAAAATAGTTATGTTTTACTAGCAATTAGGTAGTTACTTTTAATTAGGGTGATATATTCACTTTACTTTGTAGTTATTCTACCTCAGTTACGTAAATAGAAAGTATGGTAAATATGCTACTCTAACTAAAAATAACTATCGTACATTATTTTACTTTAGTTATGTAAATATAAAATAAAGTAAATATGTCTCTTCTAGTCAAGATAGTAATATAACATGATCTTAAAGAAAAAATTTGTTGCTCAAATATTATATAGTGATCATCTTCGTTGCTACTGTTCAGAGCTATGTCGTTCTAGAGACGCGCACCCCTTCCACTTACTTTGAGAATTTTTTAATTTTATGTAACAAAATTTGTATGTTTTATTGCAAAAAAAGGCCATCAAATGAAAAACTATTCTGCACCCCTTCTCCACTTTTTTCTTTAAGGCACATCCCTGCTACTGTTTGGTAATTATATCTAGTGAAAAGCTGAAGAGAATAAATGTAAAAGAAAACAACTAACCTTGAACTCGGCGATTATTAAACTGGACAGAAAGTAGAGAAATGAGCGTCCTATAGAAGAAAACAAAAAAAATAAATTAACTGTGCCCGCAGAACGAAAGGAAAAAAGCACTCATCCCAGACGCTAAAGAAGAAAAGTGTTAGATAGTGAGCTGTTCTTCTTCTCTTATGATATATGTGATGAACTTTTCGTTTCCTATCATATATATACATATATATATATACATATGATGAATTTTTCCTTCCCTCTCATATGTATATGTATATGTATATATATAGTGAGAGAGAGAGTATGTTACGGAAGTTCTGGTGATGTAGTTGTCAGTGTCACAACTAATGATGATTCCTAATATGAATACTGGATTTTAAGATTTTAGGATATTTTAATCTTCTTGTTATTTTCCTTATATTTTTTTTGATATGAAACTACGAGTTATATTTATGGATTCATAAGCTAGGAGAAAAAACTATTTTTCAGATTTTCAATTGATTTAGTTTGGGATTGATATATATTCAATATTGAGAAAGATTGTTCTATTGCATGCTGATATCTTTTAATTAAAATATCTATTGAAAACAATTACTTTATACAATCTCTACTTCGATAACAATGGTGATTTATTTTAATAAATCTTTGAAATCAGAAAAGAAATTCGTTATAGGGCTTGTTTATTAATATTCACTAGGATTTTATATATTCTTTATTTATTTGCTTTACAAGATTATTTATTAACCAAAAGAAATAAAATATTAGTTCTTTTGATATTAACGTCGTCGTCCAACTATTCCATGAGCATAAAGAGCCTTTTGAAGTTCAATTGGAATTGTACGTTTCTTATAACCTATTATACGCATTTGACCATATGGTAAATTATAACCAGATGTTATTACTGAACGACCTGAACGACTATTGATATTCTCCAATAAGAATGAATCATGTGGTATTAGGATATGTTTGATTTCTTCGTTTTCATATTGATAATTTGATAAACCATCAATATTTTGTGTCGATGCATAAACAAGAAATAAAACTAATAAAACTATGGGACGTAAATATGAAGCAGAAATAGAGGTATTGAGCTAGAAATATTATTCATAAAAATAAATAATCAAAATAGATTTCTATTTATCTTACCTTGCTCATTTTGTAAAAAGTAATATAACAATATATTGCTGCTGTTAAAATCAGAATAGACTGGCATTTTACTACATATATATATATATGTACTGTCTCTAAGGGAAAGTAAGATCATCTTAGTTTTAACTTGAGAGAATATATCCATATAGTCTTACAATTTCAAATTTCATAATATACATGTTGTCTTTCTAATGGAATAAAACTATTAAGATACAATGACAAGTTCTTAGTTTTCTGTTTTATTTTACAAAATGAGAGGATAGATCGAATGATATAATTAAAATGGTACGGGAATATTATCCCAGACTCCACCTACGTTCTTTTTACTATATTTGATCTGATGTATATATATAGATTATTAATAAAATATTTACAAACAAAAAAAGAACATATTCAATAGATAAATATAAACTTGAAGCAAAAAAAGAACGAAATTTATTTTTCTAATGATGACATAACAAATTGCATTGTTTATCTTTTTGACTCATAATTTATCGTATGACAACGATAAAAAAAAGATAATACTGATAAAAACAAAAGTGCTTCTTTTCATTCACTCATTTTTGTTAATTTAGTAAACATGTTGTTTTATACTTTTTTTATTCTTTTACAATTAAATATAATTCATTCATATTGTCTAACAAATTCATTATGTCAATTAAATGATGATTCAACAATACTCACATGTAATACTATGCTTAATGATACTAGTTTATTACCTGAAATATCATGTTTTCCATCTGTTAATACATATATATTTTATAATTTCGAACAACTTCCATCACATCTATTTTCAAATATAAACTTTTTACAAAATCAGTTCTATACAATAAAATTAATAAATATATCAATAATAAATTCTGATACATTTTCAAATAGTATACAATTACCTGAAAACTCAAAATTATCAATTATAATTGGAGATTTAAATATATCATCAAATATTCTAATACAATCAAATGCATTTAATAATATTAATATTGATTATTTACATTTTTTAAATCTTAATAATACAATATTTGATACAAATTGTTTTGGTCATAATCTCAATATAAATACTCTTATATTTGAACAATGTAATTTAACTAGTTTCTCAAATCATATACGAAAATTAACCAATGTAAATCATTTAGTAATTAAAAATTCTCCAGAATTAAAACAATTAACACAGGAAAATTTACCATCATTTTTGCCAACATTAACATCATTTGAATTATCAAATACTGCGCTAGAAATAATTCATCCACATTCATTTCAAGCATGGTCACTTATTCTTGAAGAATTTGTTATAACTAATAATACTAATTTAGAAATATTTCCTTCGGATATAGTTGATGGTGTATTAATGAAATTAAATAAACTTGATTTAAGTTATAATCCTATAAAATATCTTCATTCAAATTATAATTGGTTTCCATATAGTTATACAAAAAATTTATTATTAAAAAATCAACAATTGGATTTATTTCTTAAATCAAATATTTTAAAAACTTTACCATATTTAGAAAATATTGATTTATCTCATGGATTTATTAGTGAAAATTTAATGAAAAATTATTTTCCAAATATGTCAAATTTAATATCAATTGATGTTTCTTATACAAATTTAACTGAAAACATGATTATTGATTTACTTACACATTTAAGTCAAACAACAAATCATTTTATTGATATTTATTTACGTGGTCATATATTAAATGATGAAAATTTTTGTTCATATTTTAAAATATTTCAAAATGCACCAAATTTACTCAATCTTATATTAGATAATTCACATGAATGTAACTGTATTGTTGAATTATTCTATCGTGATAAATTACAAGATATTAATAATAATAGTTTATTAATACATCCAACATGTTTACTTGATTCTTCACGAAATCGTTGTGATATTCAAACACAATTAACCTTATCAAAATGTCCTACTAATGGTCATACAAATTCGGATGATACTATAGGAGATTATGCATTTGGTGGTGTTATTGCGGGAGTAATAGTTGCTTTATTATTATTATTATCACTTGGTTTTGGTGTTGTTCATAGAATCCGACAACGACGTAATACTGATCTTACTATGGAGAAACCTGTTGAAAATCCTTTAGCAGCAATTATTGAAGAACGTTTAGGGAACGTATAACTATTTTTCTCGAATATATATATTGAATTCTTTTATGAGTGATAAAAGATGGCGCTTTAACCATTTCTAACTATTGGAGAAGAGAAGTTTACTGACTATCTAACGATTAAATGAGAGATGAATCATGATTTGATGTTTTTAATCACATTATCATGGATATTATTTAGACAAAACATCAAAGGTTTGTTTGTTTTAAGAATTATAAACATGACGAAATTATTAAATAATTTTTTTAAGAATAAATTGTCATTATTCGATTTATCAATTTATGAAATGCTTTTTTTTCTTATACATTTCATAAGTTCTGTACATTGACTAGAATTAACTTTTAAATGATAGACAATAATACCTTATTGAATGTATCTTTATAAGATTTGAGTAATCGAATACTTCTTCTCCCGTATGTGCACGTAGGTAGATATAATGAGTTAATAAGTAAAGATTAAGTTATACCATAGTCTTACATTCAACAAAAAAAGTATAAATTATGTATTATAGTTGCACATATATGGAAAAAAAACATTGCTATCACTTCATCGCTTAGACTTCGAAGAAAATGATTAAATATATTTTTTTATAATTAATTGGAAAATTAAGAAACATATAAGACCAATCAACACTCAGTTCAAGATAATATCTTGTATTAAGATACGATACAATCTTTTGTGCACTGTTGCTTATTAACACTTGCAAATCAAATGAACTTATTTAATTTGACCTCCTTTGTAGTACATGCACATACTAGTCTGATTGTATTTACTCTTGATTTAACACTAAACAGTCAATACGTAGGTCATACGCACTCTTTAATCAGAAAAAGAAGGAAGATAAAGATTCTTTTTTTCTTGTCAACCCATTTGATAATAGAGAAGATTTTGAAAAAAATCTTTTAAAAAGTAGTGTGATAAATACTATCAATTGATGAAATATATGCACAATTGCAATACATAATTTATACTTTTTTGCTGTTGTATGTAAGACTATTATATAACTTAATTTTTACTAATTTATTCATTATATCTATCGTGATGCACATAGCCACTTCCGATTATAATAAATCTACACCAGAGGCGGAATAACAGAGAAGGAAAGAGATATCAGTATATCTTTAATAGATTATTTTCAGTTTGGTGTAATCGATTGTTCAAGTAGTATTGTTGAGTATGTTTTTATTTCTTGTGTATTGCTTGTACTATGAACATAGGTAGTTGATGTATATATTAGAAATCCTACTGTTAATTTTAATGCTTTGTTTTGTAATGTTTGGAAGCGTTTTCATACATTTTCTTTAACTGTTAAAAAGATAATAGATCCGTAAGAAATAACCGAATGGATTCAGGCTCTTGCATTTTGCGACAGTAATAATTCAATATTAGTTAGTATTGATGATGATACTGTTCATGTATGAAATATTATTATTGATCTTTGTTTACATCGATTAAAAGTTACTATTCATTTTTATTTTTACTATAGAGTATATTACTTAGATTTTAAATGATTTATCTTGTTTTGTTCGATTATTATCAAATAATAATGCTATTTTGATTGGTATCCAACTGATCAACAAATATCTTCACAAGAATGTATACTGATGTAACTAATATTATTATTGTAATAAATGATACTATTTGACAATAAATGACTGTACTTGAAAAAATCAAAAGTATTCTTCCATTTTTTTCTTATTTTTCTTCACTCTGTACTTATGCAAATATCTACTGATAAAGGTAGTTATAACTCCCATGTGCTTCTTATTTGCATAGGAGATATTTTACGTTTATTTCAGATTCTCTACAAATATGAATGAATGCAGCGATGTTTAATATTTTCCGTTATCGCAGTCGTCTAAGATATCTTCTTCTTTGCAGACAATGTTTAATATCTGTATTTCTTCTGTGTATATTAGTATATGCTACATTTCGAGTAAAATTATCAAACGATTATAAAAATGCACAAGTATTCTATAAAACTCAACAATCTATATGTAACAATAATCTTAATCAAAATCAAAATAGAACGAAAATAATTCTTTTCTGGACTAAATTATTTAAAAGAAAAGCTGATGAAAATTATATCAACAATTATTTCTTTACATCATCAGGACGTTGTGGTACAAATCAATGTCGAGTAACAAATAATCGTGATGAATTATGTGCAAGTGATGCTATTATATTTCATGCACGCGGTCCAATTAATATGAATGATATGCCAACGAAACGTTTGCCTCATCAAAGATATGTTTTATTAATAAAAGAACCACCTTATAAAACAACAGCAATTGTTGGTCATTTAAATTATTTCTTCAACTGGACAGCAACAGTAAGTATTCGAAATAGCTGAAATATTTTCTCTATTTTATCTCATTTAGTATCGTACTGATTCGGATATTAATTATCAGTATTTTTATTGGCGTCGAAAAGCTAAACCAACTAACGAAACAAGTCAAAAATCATATTTAAAAAATCGTCAAGCTCGTGCAGCATCAATGATTAGTAATTGTTATTCACAAAGTAATCGTGAAGGTTATCTTCAACGTCTTAATTCAATTATCCCGGTAACTCACGTAGGATATTGTTCAGGAACTAAATGTCATAAATCACGAGAAATTTGTCTTAGTCAATTAGCTGAAACACATCCATTTTATCTTTCATTTGAAAATTCTCTATGTCGTGATTATGCAACAGAAAAATATGCGAACGTTATAATTAATAATCAAATGATACCTATTGTTTTTTCTCAAACTCCAAATCTCTACATTCCAAATTCATATATTGATGCAAATCAATTTTCATCACCGGAAGATTTAGGTCAATTTCTTCGTAAACTTACTTTGAATACAACAATGTATGATAGTTATTTTAAATGGAAAGATGAATATGATCTTATTATACCAGGTCCGGATGATTATCTATGTGATTTATGTAAAAAATTAAATAATCCAAATGAACCGTATAAAGTCTATGATAGTATGAAAAAATGGCTTTATAATGATGCAAAATGTCAACGATGGGTATCAAAATTAAATAAAACAATTGATATACCAGTTGATGAATCGATGGATTATGAAGAACCCTGGTTTTAAAATAATTATTTAGACAAGTCAAACTTCATTCTAGTTTTTTTTTATATTTGTTTTTGTAATGTTTAAAAAAATTTATTAAAATTACAGTTTTTTTCTATGACGAAAAATGATATCGAATAGAAGTTATTTGATCAAAATAATGTGAGTGTAATGGAGAAATAGAATACGTCCTTATTTTCTTTATAATGTATCAATAATTTGAATATGTTTACTCGGATAAATGAATTTATCTAATAACGTGAGATATCAAATGAAATCATAATCTTTTTATATATTAATGATGTTCGCATTTAATATAAAAAATTTTTTTCTTGCCATTAATTAACGTTGACAAATAAAGTTTCATATTTTGTATCGATATTATACTATTGTTAAATATTTGTGCATTCTTTTTGTTTTCTTAATCATAAACATACAGTATGTCACGTCGCTTTTTGTATAGAAAAATATTTTAAATCCTATAAATAAACGAAGAAAAGAACACCGTTCTCATGTCAGTAATATTATTCGTATATTTTTCTTTATTCATCACTGATCAGTTCTGTTTTCTTCGTATTCATATAATCATAATGATATATTACTGGTAGGTATAAGGTATATGTCAACATTGTAAATCGTGACAGGTCACGTCTGTAAACAAAAACTTGTCAGTTATTGCCTACGTGCATAAATCTAAGTCATACGTAACGAATAATATATGTCTTAGCAATGAATTCTCAATATAAAACTAATTATAATCGTCAGAATATAATATTTTTGATCGATAAAAAGGTAAGCTTCAATGTATATACCACATGACTGTCCTTTTTTTTACAATAAATAAGCAAATCCGTGAAATTTATATGTATGTTCTAATAATACACGAGAAACAAAAGATATTAGACAAAATAAAAATGATCAGCTATCCGTGTAGTATGAATATCACACTTAGAATATAATTTTGACAATAAATAAACAACTTGATTGATCAAAATTTGAATTTAGGTAAGTAAAAGTTCTTTTCATTAATCATTCTTATGTATCTGATACAATTGTATTTTAAACATATTTCTTTTCTAGGAATTGAATCAATAGATTTTATTAATTCTGATATCAAATCGATTTGATGAGATAAATATAATTTCAAAATTAACGAATGAAAATGTTACATACAATGACATGAACTGGATTGTACATTATGAGTGATATATTATTTACTTTATTTACCATCATTGCAGTTATAATAGTCTGTTCTACACGAAAAAGATCATCAAGCATGTTATTTGAACAGATCATAAATTTTTTTAGATAGTTGTTGAAGTTGAAAGTAAATTTCATATTTCGAATTCATTCACGTTGAATATTAAACTTTTTAATCTGACATAAAATATTCCGAACTATCAACTTACATTATTAGAATTTACCAAAAGAATGAATACTGATAGAAAGAAATCTAGAAAAAATGTTCGTCTTGTTGAAACTATTTTTGAAAACAATAAAAAAAATTATTCATGGAATTTAGTCTTTATTTTTTTCTAGGTAATAAATGATTAACAATGACAATCAAATGGATATTACTATTCTAACGAATGATATCAACGATTTATTATATATCTATTGGCAAGTGGAGTTTAGAATAATGATAATTAATTAGATATTGCTGTTGCCAATTACAACATTGGTGATACGGCTGTATCCCTTAAATATGATAACAGCACGATTGCAATTTCAAAGAATTCAAATTAATAATGATAAACAACTAGATATAGTTATTATCAATCATGAACCTACTCATGAGTGAATGAACTTTTTATAATACAAGGAATATATTTTATTAGTTGTAAATTTCATTCACACTTCATAACGATTGCAGACATTTATTTATAAGAATAATTATCTCAATGTTATTGTTATACATTCAGAAAATGAACCAATATTTATTCTACTGGAAATTCTTCTAAATCATTTGTAACTATTGTTGATGATATGCATAATAATGATCAATTATATAATGGAATGGTTCATGTAATAATGACAACTGATTGACTACTAATAATAATAACAACACAAATATTTTTCTTACATATAACAATAAAAGTTTTGCTAATGTCATAATGCATTTAACTGTGAAAAATTACAGTCGTTCTTCTTCTATCTTTTCTAAAATTTTCTATTTAATATTTTATATTACATATTGAACTTTGAATAAAAGAAATACACATATTGCTATTTCATGTCTTCTATCAAAAACAATCGGAAAAGAAAATTGCATACTATAAGTACATTTTGATATTGATAATATTTTTTAGATCCATAATTAATTTAATTGTATTGACATGAAGATACTATCACAACAAAAACAAATATATTTATCATTATTTAGTACAAAGTATTAATTAAAATGAAAATAATCTTTTCTCTCAACTGTCTGCATAAGATAATTATCTAATAGAAAGAAATTTGATAATACTATCGACATTTTTCATCAGTATACTTTGTATGAAATAATTGAATTCGTATCTCATTTTTCATAAAATCATGTGAGAATGATTTTTAAGTTTAAATAGAAAACTGGTTAGTTATCATAACATTCATTTGTATAATATAGTAATAGCGAATTACAAATATAGTCGTTCACGTAATTCTCTACCAGAAATTTCAATTAAAATAAAAAGGAAGACTTCCAAACGTTAAGTATTTATTCATGTCAAACAAGGTCGACCTACGATGGTACCCGGATAAGTTTAAAAAAATATTATCATATAACAAAAAAGTATTTTCATCAGTATATAATGTCTCCAACATTACACACTCTTCTTTGGTAGATTATGCTAATGACATATATGTTCTTAGTATTATTTTACAACTCTGTCTATTGGAAAGGATATACTATAGAAAAGAAAAACATGACTAATGAATTAATTTATCAAAAAAACAGAATTATAATTATTTGTTATGCTTTCGAAAATGAACTTATAACAGAATTATAAAAAAAACTCTTTACTTTCATTTCAGACGAATGTCTTCTACATCAATATTATTTACTATTCAACAAAATATTGGTCGATATGGTCTATCTACATTACTTATTTTAGGAAATTTTGGTAATCTATTTACAATACTTATTCTTGGACGATCATTAAAACAAAAAATGAATTCGTGTTCACTTTATTTATTTTCTGCTTCAATTTCAAATTGGATTGTTATTAATACAGGACTTGTTTCTAATATTATAGGGATTGATCATACCGATCCACAACATACATCAAATATTATTTGTAAATTACGATGGTCTGGAGTTCATGCATTATTAATGTTATCAAGAAGTTTTAGTAAGTTTATTAATAATAGAATTATCTTTCATTATTAATATAATTCGTTTTAGTGGTAGCTGCTTGTATAGATCGATGGGCAGTATGTTCACAAAATCTTACTATTCGAACTTTTTCTCGACCATATATAGCAAGACGCATAATTATAATTCTTCTTATTGTTTGGACAATTATACCAATTCATGTAGTAATCTTTTTCAATAATAGCACTGGTCGATGTATTCCTTTACCAGGGATATATACATTGTTTTATGCTATTTATTCACTTATTATTATTGGTATTGTACCATTACTATTAATGATTGTATTTAGCTTTCGAGCTTGGCAAAATTTACAATTGACTCATACACGTGTTTTACCAACTGGTTGTAATATTCGAAATATTCAAATTCGTAAACGTGATCGTGATTTATTAAAAATGTTAACTGGTGAAGTATTTATTTATTTTTTAACAACAGTACCATATCCAATTAATCAACTCTATAATGTTTCAACAAGTTCAATAACAGCATATAAAAGTTCAATACGTATAGAAATTGAATCATTGATAGGATATATCGTTAGTCCTTTACTTAATTTTATGTATTGTTGTGTACAATTTTATAGTAAGAAGAATTATTTATAGAATTAATTTATACATATTAATTTTTTCTAGTATATATTTTATGTTCACGTAAATTTCGAAAACAATTTATCAGCTTGTTCCGACAAAAACCAACGAATATTATAGAGAATAATGTACCGATGATTATCACAGCAAAAATAATTTAATATTAATGATGAGAATTGTATTTACTTATTTGTAAAAAATTGTTTTTTGACCATTATCAAGTATTTTTATCCTAGTAAAAACCTCTAGTCAATGATTGTATAATAATTGAACCAATAAAAAATTATGATTCATACTTCAATTTTAACTACATTTCAACATTCGATTATTTAACTGTTGTTTCTTTCGTGTATTTCTCTTGTTGCTAGTAGATCCATTCGCTATTTCAATTAAAGTTACATCAGTAGTAAAGTAATTACAACTATTTTATTTTTTTTTTATTATAGCATAGGAAAACTATAAAGAAGATCGAGTATCTTATGTATCATTTATATAAATGTTGACTGAAAGATTATTTATTTATGGTACACAGAGTACTACAGAATCAATAGAATATAATATTTAAATATTAACTTAAAATTAATAATGTAAGCAAGTAGAATGAGATAATAGTTGAGTATATGAGCATTCCACACCCTTAATGTATTTGACATGCACACTTTACGAACGTTATTTTGAGTAAACAGGAAACTCGTACTACCGATTAAGTTATCTATAGTCATAAACAATTATTAAAAACGTGTCTAATCCTGGTTAATATAAAATATATTTACTTCATTGTCGAATAAATGTAATTTATTGCCATCTCTCAATTGAATTACTAGAAAGTGTAATAAATTGAAAATATTTTCATATATAGAATTTTATTAAAGTTTTTTGTTTAATTATTTGTATTAGTCATTAGCACATTTATACTTCTTGGAGATAATCTATATGATGATCTTGTAATAATTAAATTATATTTTAGCTTTTATATTTAATTAGAGTCCATCGGATCCAGATAGACTCACTTAACATTATTTATAAATAAACAATCTCCAATGAAGTACGATAAATTGTTTTTTTCGGAATTATTATCTAATTAATATTAATACATAACTTTTGTTTTTTAAATAATCTTGAACAGAATATTACTCGACCTTAAATTTATTAATCTAAATTTTCCAACGGAACATTGGACTTCTTTATTGTCCTTTAGATATCTATATATATATATATATATATGCAAATTACAAGTCATATTCTAAATGTCTTCTTATAAGCATGCATCGAGACCATAACCAATAATGAATAGAAAATAATAATAGATGCCAATATAGTATATTCTCTAGAGAAAAATATCTTCGACGAATGTAAATATTTATATTATAAGTAATTAAGATTATCATGAAAGAACTGTTATTTTTTTACTTCTTATTATCATCAACAATAATATACATGATTAAATAGATCGTTTAGTATAAGAAAAGAAAATTTTATTTTCTCAATATTTTAGATATATGTCTGATACACGTAATGATTCAATAAGAATACATTTCTTATTAATGATAATTCATTTTCCTATTATAGAATCTTTAGTTGATATTATTAAACGTGAACAAGGACATTTTGATGCTGAATGTATTTTATTTATTGATTTAAAATCACGAAGTAAGAGGAAATGAAATTTTTGTTTTATATTTTTGAAATTTAATTTCTTATGAATAGATCTTAATGATGCGAATTGTTTAAGTATATGTCGAAATATAATTATTTTAAATTTAAATAATAATAATCTAACGAATGTTCGTAATTTTGGTGTATTTACACAATTAAAAATTCTTTTATTAGCACAAAATCAAATTCATTCATTAGATGGTCTTCAATCATGTGAAAATTTAGAAACACTTAATATCGCAGGAAATAATCTCACGGGGTAAGAATATAGACATATATATATATTCAATGTACTTTTTTTTTGTACACAGCCTTGAGTGGGATTGACAAGTATACAGTATATGATTGACACCTGTCTAAATTTTATGTATACATAACATGATAGAAATAATGTGATAAAAAGTCAATGGTGACAATATATTTCTATAACAAGTAAAAGTTGAATTTGCGTAGTAAATATATAGTAAATTTAAAATAGTTGATGTATGTTATTATTGTCGATTGTTAAAATAAACTGTCAACAAGTTTATTCCTAGATCTTTCATCATATATGAAATATTTTTTTATATATCGATTTTTCTATAATTATAGACTTAAATCTTTATCTCCATTATTACAATTAACTCAGTTACGTTCTTTATGTTTAAATGATCGACAAAATAATCTAACAAATCCTCTTTGTAACTCAACATCTTATCAAAAAGATGTCAAAAATAATTTACCTAATCTCGGTATACTTTTCATTCTAAAACAAACAAAAAAAAATAGTAATATTCTTTCTGAATTTAGATATACTCGATAACGAATGGATTGGACAAAGTTTTCAGGAACATCTGTCATCTTTAGAATCAATGATTGAACAATTAGAAAATCCTGATAAAAATTTAAAGGAAAATTCTACGGAAAAATCATCAACTATCATAACGAATGCAACGAATTCTGATCAATCTATACGTTCTGCTAATGAAGAATATGAACAATTATTACAATCGATTCGTATGCTTGTAAAATAATATATATATATTTTTTTAAAAGTTAATATAATAAAAAAGCAATTGCGAGAATTTTATTATATTATTAAAGCAAAAAAAAAGAAAAGATTGAAACACAATACAAGTTAAATAGAAATAAAAAAAAAGAGAGAAGCTTAGATTAAAATAAGTTTGTGTACGTGCTTACTAATCTAGAAATATACTGATCAAAGAAAGAAAAAGAAAAATGCAACTAATCAATACAAAAGAATAATAATATTAAGAATAAATCAATTAATTATGTACGATATGTTTGAGTTGCTATTGGATGATCATCGCGGATAACTACATCACGTACAATTGTTTCTTGTCTTCCACCATAATTATCATAGGGTCCTTGTCGATGTATTTCGGTTTGAACTGGTCTTGTTAAAGGTACTGTTTCAACTGTAACATCATGTGGTGTTGGTAAAAATTCTGTTTTAACTGTTGTTGTTGTTATTGTTTTAACTTCTGGTCCAATTGTTTTTGCTTTGATCCATGATAAAGCAAGAATTAATGGTAAAAGTAATGCAATAATCATAGCAAGAATTGATAAAACAGCTGACCAACCAATACAAGCACGTGTATTTTCATAAACAGTATTATAACCTACTACTGGACCATAAATATTGTATGCAGGTTTTGGTGTTGTTGTCTGTTGATTAGAACTACGTGGTGCATAAGCTTCATTTCTTAAACTTGAATAAGGATATTGAACCCATCTACCGTCAGCTTCGGAATATTGTTGAAAATGTGTTTCATTAAATGGATGTTGACCAGGTAATAATGAATATGCTCGATATGTTTCATGTGCTTGACGACGAACAATTGAATGATGTCCACTTGTATAACGTTTACCAACTTGTGTTGCAATTTGTTTATGAATATGTGGATATGAATCAGCAATAGTACGTGTTTCACGTTTAAGATAACTAAGTAGTATAATCAGACCAATTAATAAAAAGAGAAAAGCAATAAATGATAATACAACACCAATTGGTTTAAGTAATCCATGAAATTTAGTTGTAAGTAAAGATACAATTAAAAGAACAAGACCAAGTAATATTAATGCAGTTACTTCAAAGAAAATGATTGCATTCCAATGAGGATATCGTCGACAATGGCACTGTGTTGGTGAAATAAGTCGATCAGCACATGTAAGTAATGCACCTCGAAGAGTTGATGTTTCTGATAAACAATGATTTAAATCATCCTCTCCATTATCTAATCTTGGAAAACGTGTACTTGTCCAAACATCAAGTTGTTCATCATGACCAGCATAAACTTTAACATCTCGTGAATATAAACCATAAGTTTGATCGATTCGACTATCATCATATACATTTGATGGATTTTGATGACTATCAACAACTGGATCAAGATATGTTACTTGACGTTTCCAATGATGAGTTATAACAGCAAAAAATTGTAAAAGAAATGCAGTGATTGCTAATAATAAAACAAGTATATTTAATAAACGAACAAGATCTTTAGTTGCATGAGGATCTATAGCTCTAGTTTTAGCTTCACTTTTAGCAGTAGATGCTGTTGTATCTTTGGTTTTCTTTGCCATCGTCCTTGTTTGGTTGCTTCTTCAGTGGCGGCTTTGTTGTTATTATTATTTCTCTTGTGGTAAAAGGAGTGGTAGTGGCGATGCGTTAGTCAATGCTCGATTAGCATGAGACTGTCATCAACGTTGTCGTTTGTTTTTTTTGGCGCACAAACGATAGAAGAGAAAAAAGAGAATGAGAGAAGGATAGACGTTCGCCTCAATCTAATATCATATCTTTGCCGTTATACATTCTTCTTCGTTTTTTTCTTCTCTTTTCTTGGCACGTACAAATACAAAATATAAATTTGACCACATACAATTACGTCGGAGACGTTATTGAGGAAAAGAGGATATAAATATGTAAAGAAGCAGAAAAGAGAGAAATGAATGAAATTATGATTAATACTGCCTACCACGTTTATTTCTCTCTCTCTCCCCTCTCTCTCTCTCTCTCTCTCTCTCTCTCTCTCTCATCTTTCAGTCAGAATGAGTGACGACCACAAAAAATAAACAGAAAGCTTCTTTTGCTTTACCACTTAATAAGACAAGGACATTTCTTTTTTGGACGATATATGTGCTATTTCTTTTCTTCCCACCTGCTGGTAAGGAAGAACCACCGCCGATTTATCGTATAAATGTCTATCTATCTATCTATCTATCCTTCACTCAATGATCATATAAAAAACGAGAGAAGCAATATATTATGACGTGTTTATTTTGAGTTGTAAATCGTTTATCTTCTCATTTTTTTTTTCTCTTCTTTTCCATTATTACCAATAATCAACTACATAAAATACGTAATGAGCACAAAATCTTCATACTTTACATGGATCAATTCGTATAATGATCACCTTGACATGCATCATTTATACTCGAGAAAAAAAAAAGAATCTTCATAGGTGTGCATACCATTACTTGATCATTATCAGTATACATTAAATTTAACTCGTTTCATTGAATATACATTTAGTTTTTAAAACTATTTGAACACAAAAAAAAAATTGAATCGAATCGAATGTATCGAACCTATTTTATTAAGTATCTTAAGAATTCTCTCTATATATCATTCAATGTATCTGTAAAAGACATTCGTTAATAATCACATTATACAATAAGTAAAATTATGTTAGAAAGATAGATACAAATGTTCAAGAGAACAGTTGTCCTATCTTTGAAGTGATGTGAAGGTCGTAACAGCTGCTATTGAGATGATGATGATGAATCGATTATGAACAAGATGATTGAATTGCATACTTATTTCGTTCTAATTACTTTCGATAGATCATTATAAAAAAGAAAATTTCTAATAATACTTTATAAATATAATTCTATTTCTTCATTATCTACTTTCTGGATTAGTCAATAGGATGTTAGAAGAAAAAAACAAACAAAAGATAGATAACAGGGGCGGCAAAATAGTTCTATAGATAAAGCAGATGGTCCTATCAACATTGATGTTGGAAACCAATCATTTTATACTTGGTAATAACTCGATCTCTCTTGAGTACAAGTCGTTAGATATTTTTTCCTCTAAGTATACATCGTTTTTCTTTAATAATAAACTAAAGTCTGCTTCTTTAGATTTTGCTTATGTATATCAATATTTCCTAAAGGAATTACATTAAAATCTCTCCATAGACTTGTGTTTTCTCGTAACAAAAACAAAAACTTATTAAAATTATATATGAAGTATATTTTGATAAAATTCAGATAATTTTTCTACACATATCTTATGTTAATCATAAATCAATGTCAAGATCTTATTGATATACAACCCTACATACATTTATCACTAGATATAAGATGTTACTGAAATCATAACAAAAAAAAAGATTTTGATGATAATTAATAATACTATTAAGATTTTATTTAAGCAAATTCATTAGGATCTTTTCTTATAATCATCTGACACAGAACAACAAAATATTTATCAAACTAACTACGAATTCTAGAAAAAAAATTTTTGGTCTTTTAGATAAAATAATACAAGGAAGAGAAAAAAAGAAGAAGCAGCGGATATATCTGATTACAAATATAGAAAAATTAATGTGTAGATAATTGTGGTCCTATAACACAAGGTCGACACTTTCCAAAACCATATCGCCATGCTTTGTCAATTGATATGAGTTGATGATGATTTCGATAGAATTGATAATTATTTACGGATGTTCGATAAAGAAAATCATCATCATTATCTTGAGCATTAGCATGATGTAAACGAAAATATAAAAGTTGATCTAAGAAAAGTGAACCAAAACTAACATTTCCATTATAATTAATCTGTCCTAAATTATATTTATTTGATTGTGATTTATATCGAAATGTAAATGTTGCATTTTGTTCTTTTTGATTTGTATACGATTGACTAAATTCATTCATTGATATAATTGATAAAGTTTTTGTATGATTATCAAGTTTAAAACATTGATTAGGTGTTCGATCTAATAATGATCTTTCAAAACAAACATATGGTAATTTAAAAACTAAATGAACTGTTGTTTTTTTATTAGCCATTATATAATCAATTTCTGCTAATTTCATATAAGAATCATTATAATTATTATCTGGCCAACGAAGATATATGCCTGAACGAGCGATATATTTTGTATATAAATATTTATCTTGTACATGTAATTTATGTATTGAACCGGGTATTTTAATATAGCCTTCACCATGATGACGATGAATAAATAGAATAGCAATCATAATTGATAAAGCTAAATTAACAAGCCAAATTGGTATAAGAAATATTGGAAAACAAATATATAAGCGTTTAGCTCGACACCATTGTGGTATATCTTCTGATTTAACATCATTACGTAAAAATGTATAGAGATTATAGAGTTTCCATATAGTTACACATATAGAAAATATTGCTTTAAATAATGAAGACATTTTAAACCAACCATCACGACATAGATTTACATGAAATATAATCATTATTTGTGGAACTTCTTTGGCAATTGCCCATAATAAATCAATTGTATATGAACGAACACGAAGACATTCTTCAGGTTTTAAACAACCACAACAAAAAATTAATAGTATTAGTTGTACACATGCAAGAATTATACCAATTGATGTAAAAAATGAATATCTAAAACAAAAAATAATTCGAGATTATGAATTAAATAAAAAAATCTTACGCTGGTAATATCCATCCTTCTAAATCACAATAGACAAGACCTTTTTTAATACCACTATTTTCTCTTATAAAATATCCATCAAGCATTAATGACCAAACTAATATAATTAAATTCATTACTACACTTTGCATGCATACTTTACACGAAACCATGATTGATTTTCTGAAAAATATAAACAACGATTAATATATATATACTAGAATAAATAAATCTATATTTTTGATAAAATTTCTAGTGTAATAGTAATAATATTATTGTATTAAAAACCTATCAATAAAATTGGAAATTATAAAATGCTAAGTATACATATGTTTAATGTATAGATTTTATTCATAAATTGGTTTCACTTATATATATTTTTTTATATAAAGAAAACAATTTTGAGTTCTTTACAAAAACAATACTCATAATTATATTGGTTGATTGATATTTATACAACTCATGAATAACACCTACAAATGTCACAAGAAATCTTGTCACTTGCTATTTTGATGATTAATTTTTGTAAACAAACAAATGTCTATATACATTTTATGAATTATCATGATCAAACTATGATTCATTACTAATCAGACTACAAAAAATAGATTCCAACTAATTATTATTATCTATACATTTTTAATTTTCTACACTAATTATTTAAAAAAATTAATATTGTTTATAATCAATTTTCTTATCATCAAAAGTCAAAACAAAAAATACTCTTGTTTTTACCTTATAGATATAATGAATCTTCTTTCACATTAATCAATTGAGTGCTTAAATTCTATTGGTCTATTTTTCCACCAATAGTAAAACATCATAAATCCTCTTTACTGGAATCATTTTCAAAATTAATCTTGTAGCGTAATAATCAATTACTTTTATTTGATCTATATATGATTAACTAAATGTTGTTGTTGTTTTTTTTCTTTCATATACATATCAAACAGCTGTTGTTCTCTTGAAATTTACGTTTATTTTTTTTCTCTCAAGACAAATCCATCGTCAATGCTGGATCTTTCATCATTATTATGATCCCATCAAAGTACTCATTATTATTATTGATTTAAACTTAATAAAAAAAGAACAATGAATACACCATATAGTCTTGAATATTGTCATACAAATTTATTTGCCTTGGTAATTAAAATTTAGTAAACAAAAAAAAATATATATATGTTTCTTTTATATTTTACAGCAAAGTTTAAATGATATGAAATGGAAATGTTTTCGTCGAGCAGTAGATAATCAATCCGGTCGTCTAGACAATTATAAAGATCCAGTTTTAATTGAATATTGGAATGCTTTACAAAAAGATACTTTATGTGCATGGAGACGAGTACTGACAGATGATGGACAAAAAACAGAAAGAGAACTTTGGTTATTTGGTATTAACGAAGATCTTCCTACGAAATTAGATAATTTAAAACGTTAGAATTTTTATAACAAATTCTTTTTTTGTTGTTATGGTTTCTATTTTCATTTAGCGATTACTCATGCACATGGAGTATGGAACGACGATCCAATGTCGTATGATTGTAGATCAATGTTATTTAAAGCATTGCATAATATGATTGAAAAGTAGGAAATAATCAATAAAATTCTTATGTTTGTGTTTGTTTTTTGTAAATATTAGATATTTATTATCAAAAGGTTTTGCTCGATTGAATAAATGGTTTGTTTTACCAGTTAATGATCATTCCGATGTGAAAGTGTATGTTTGAGAATTGATTTTTGTAAAGAATATTTATGAATATATTTAATTTAGGCCAAATTATTCTTTTAATTTTAATTTTTTTCTTCATGGTGATAATAAAGTATGTGCAAGTGTTGATGTTCAACGTCATAAACATATATTTAATTTAACCAGTAAAGACCTTGAACGAACTTCACCATCAAACGGTATATAGAAATACACACGTATTATTTTTTAATGTATATATAAATTTCTAATATATATCTAGTTATTTTGGCACCGTATGGTATCAATGGAACGCTTATTGGTCATGTTAGTAGAGAAATAGATATGAATGCTTTGAGAGAAAATTGGGAAAAAAATTATCCGGTTCGTCATTTGGATGGTCTGCCTCTTTTTGTTGAAGTTACAACAGGTAATGCGCGAATGTTCTATCCAACTTGTTATGTATATAAAATTGGTGCAAGTGATGAATCAACTCCAACTAATGAAAATACAACATCGATTAATAAAAAATCGGATGTATCAACAAAAAAAACAAAATCCCGAATAGCGACAACAGCAACAACTGCTACTTCAACAACAATAACTAATACATCTTTAGATTCTATATCAAATACAAATAAAATTGAAAGTTCGTTGTTAAAAAAATTTGCAAATAATTTATTAATCAGTGCTCAACGAAATAATTCAATTGATCATGAAAAAACGTAAGTTATCAAAAAAAGTGAGCTCGAAATTTGGAGTTTAACAAATTGTTTTTTCTCTTGAATAACATCGGTCGATTCAGAGTAACCAAGAGTATTTATATGCGCAATCAGAAACAGACGGTTCAAGCTCCGAGCTGAGATTTTCGTTGAAAACCGCACACCCATAAACTCCAAATTTCGAGCTCACTTTTTCGATCAAATTTTTGTTAATATTAAATCTATTTTTCTTATAGGCAAGTTAATATATGTTCAGCAATTAATGATCCAACAAATTATCGACCATGTCGGTGTACTCAATGTTTACCAATTAATACTCGTTCATCTCCATTCATTCCATTTCATCGCCGTCCTCGTACAAGTCCACCTATTAGTTCTGACCTAAATAATCGAAATAAAAATGAATCAACTAAACTTCAAAATACTACAGAATCTAATGAAAATTCTGATATTATTATTGAATCAACATCATCTCCAGTAGTAACAATCAATACACAATCAACAACTAATGAAAAACCAATTGATTGGATTGCAACTACACCGAATAGTATTGGTATTTCAGGTCCACCCTCTGTTCTTGCACCAATTACAAATCTAAGTTCAACATCAGCAAGTTCTCCTGCACCTAATTTAACATCATTACGCGGTATTAAACGTTCAGCTACAGAAGCATTTGATGATACAACTATCGATGATGATGATCGAGAACAACATAAACAAACATATGATTTTTATCGAACTGATTCATTGTAAGATTTAGTTTCTTTCATTTTGTTATTATTCAAAAAAAAACATCTTTTTCTTAAGTTTACAATTACCATTAAAACGTTTTCGAAATGATGGACAATCAACTTTAAATACTCTTGAATCGGTAACAGTAATAACATCAACTCCTGAACATGTTTATCAACATGGTCAACCTACGCCTCCTAGTCCAAGTCAATTAATATTTCGTGTATAATTTTATAAGAATTTTTAATTATTTTATAAGATAGCTCTTTTTTTAAGGCTACAAATGATTACGATGAAAATGAAGAATCAACATCACGAATAAATTATTCATCTACAACATCGAATAGAATTTCTATAAATCCATCATCATTTTATACAACAGATGGACCATCAATGGCTGATCTTGATACTATACTCGATTCACAAGATACAACAGATAATAAAAATACAAATTCAAATACTACTTCTGATAATAATAATAATGTTAAATCACCTAGTCGAAAAGAAAATATACTTCCGCCACCAGTACCACCTGTTCCAACTATATTGATAAATAATGGAAGTATATTTCCATTTAATAAATCATTTAATGGAGGTTTGTTAGATTTTGTTTGTATGTAACTCATTTTCTAAAAAAAAACATGATTTTATTTAGTTCTTCACGAAATGGAATTAATCTATAATACACCACCAGGTTCATCATCATCTGAAAAACTTCAAACATTACATTCACCATATGGAATTATGGCTGATACTGCTAGTCATGTAGCCAATACATTTGATACACTTAATCAATTTGGTCAAGAATCAATACTTGTACCATTTGAATCAAATACTATAGCTGAACAATCAGTTTATTATCCATTGAATAAAGTTAGTCTAGAAAAATCTATAGAACGTTATGAACCTTCAAAATCTTTATCGATAAAAACATCAATACGTAATAAAGAATTTCGACATTGGAAACAAACAATTCTTCTTAATGATATTTCTTCAAGTCCATTTAATAATCAACAAATGCATCGACAACAAACAACACCACGTTCAATGTCAACACCAACACATTATTCACCAATGCGTTCAAATGATTTACAATCATCACCATATCCTCCAAATCGTTCTATTGGTAGTGTTCAAACAATAAATAGTCCAACAGGAAATCTTTCATTATCAACAGCAATACCGGAAATTGATTCTTTAATATTTAATGTTTTACTTAATGATAGTATTTTAAATTTTTATCGTGATATTAATTTTGATTCATGTGTTTTATGTGCATGTAAATCAAATGATTTATCTATACATGGTATTGATTCAATGATATATTTAGAAAAATCTCGTGAACAAAATAAAGCAATACATTCACAAAGTTATTCTCATCAACCATCACCATATCAACCTCATTCAACATTATATCCTCAACAACAACAAACAAATTCATCTATGAATAATTCATGTTCATGTGGTTTTTCTGCTGTTATTAATTTACGTTTAAGTTATTTATCGGGTTTATTCTATGAAGATGAAAGCGAAATAACAGGAATTAAAGCTGATGTTAAATATCGTTTAACAAATGATCATTTATCAGTTAATTTATTAGAATTAATTGAACGAAAAGAATGTTTATCATCTCCATTTGATTGTTTTAATAATCAAAATATTATACAAAAAACTAATACTCAAGATATTCTACAATTATTAAAACAACCATTTTATCAACGTAAGTTAGAATATTTAAGAGGGTCTGAGTGTAGGTGCGTCTGTCTTGTATGAGAGAAAAATGACTTATACA